ATTTTATTAGTAGTATAATTTATATATAAAAGTGATTTTTTAAAATAAAATCTATTAATGGTCGGTAACGTTTCGTAATTTACTGCTGAACTTTTTTTAATGCCAAATATTATTGCTTAATTGTAAAATTCATTAGTTGTATTATTACTGAAATAAAAATGGTGGCCAAATTGTTGATAATAAACTTTTCGTCAATTTTTACACAATTCTTCAGTAATTTAAAGCATAAGTAACACGTTTATCATGTACAAATTTAAGTCTCCAAATTTTTTCAAAAATTTTTACCTGCGCAAAAAAAATTTATCACGATTTTTATCAACCTTTAATGACGCGCGATTAACGCTTAATTGTTTTTTAATTAATGTGATTTTTTTTAATCAAATTTAATTAATCGTTCTAAAGTTGTAGTGCACGGATTTGACTTCGGTAAAGTTATTTAAAGCTACTTTCTGATATAAAAAACGACTTCCAATAGTTTTCTTATTCTTTTAATTAATATATTATATTATATATAAGTTTAATTAAATCGGGGGAGTAAAAAATCGCAATTAAAATTTTAATTTTTTTTAAATATTTAAAAATATACCGCCAGCTATTATTCACCCTACTTTAAACCCTTGTCCTCCCGAGACGTCTATGAGATTGCCCCTGGAAATCCGACACCAGATGTTTTCAAGGTCATCCAGCTGTAAACACCATGACTCATCAGTGTCAAATTTCACAGAAAGGCAAGACAAAGGAAGTTAAACTTTGAAGCTTTTTCTTCAAAATTAACACATTTCTTTCATTTTTTCATTTTTAAGTATTTTTTATGTTTAATTATAATTAATTAAAAATTGATCGAGAATCAAGGAGTTAATTGTGCATAACCATTTACATCATTACTCTTATCTAAAGTAATTGAATACATTCGTCATTAGTTATATCGTTATGTATTTGCGAAAAAATATTTATTTTTAATTCTATTGCTCGATCTAATTGGTAACTCATCTATTCACTTTATACTCAAGTCTTATTCTTTAAAATCTGCAAACAAAGTACAGTAGAGCATCAATTATTTGATTCCTGATCAATTGTCACATCGGATAACTGACCGCGTTCTAGTCGACAAATTCAAATGTTTGCTAGTGATGTGGCACAACAACATTTCGCTATGTATTGGCTACTTTAATATTATTTTTACGTGTTTTAGCTGGCAACACTGGCTCGACCGTGAAAGGGAGCCAGTATTTAAACGAGGTTTAATTTTTTACTCTTTGACGATACAATAGCGAAGATTATTATTTTAAAAAATTTTTGTTAGGCTTAACATCGATGAAAATTCAACGCGAAGTAGGTTAATAGTGATATACTAATATACTAATTACATGGGATATAATAATATACTATAGTAATAATGTATATTTTCATATTTTTCAGNTTTCGATGAAATTAACCATATCCAATTTCGGAAATTTTCATCGTTGCGTGTCGCCCGGGGTTGAATTTTTGCCCATGCATAACGAAAATTTCCCATTTTTGAAAAAATAATTCTGGCTATCGTAACGTCCGAAATTATATCTTAATTTTGAAGAAGAAACAATATATATATATATATATATATGTATCTATTAATAAATGTATAAAAAACAAATTATATTTCAAAAGTTAGTTTTAATATAATATTACGACATATAACGATTTGCCCCATGTACAGTATTACCAGAAAATGCGAAATTAATTCGTTCCGAAACTGAGATCGCGTCATGAAAATGTCGTAAGGTGTATTATTTTTCTCCATATGATTACTTGTAAAAACAAATAATCTGTTCCAACTCGAAAAACACACAAAAATTAAATATAAGTAGTACATTGAAAAAAAATAACTTTAATAAGAAAAACACTGAAAAATGCGTTTTGTAGTTGTAAATGTATAAATAACCATAATAGAATAATAATTGATTAAAAAATGTAGATTTATTTGCACTTTATCTCTTATGATAGATGACAGTGCAGGTGTAAACTGGTGGCAGAAGAGAGGGAGAAGGAAAATGATACTAAAACTTAACTTACATAACATAATGTAACGATAACTTAAAAATAACTTAGAAAAGATTTCATAAAATTAGTGTTGTTATATATATATATATATTAAATTTTTATTCACTGGTTTTTGCTTTCTTTCTTTCATTTTCACCAGACTTTCACTGGATAGAGGTCGCTTTGTAAAATATCTATCCAAAGAGGTTTGGCTTTGCCTACTTTTTAAAATGTTTCTAAAATGACCGGCAAATGTCATTACTCTGAGCAGCAATATAGTCAGTGTGAACATTTTCGAAATGTTTCTTTTCAATAAAATCAGTCACTTTCTGATAATACCAGAAGATTTCCTTTATCGAGCGAGATCCTTCCAAAACGAATTAAACACGTAAACTAAAACCAATGAAGAGAAGTGAATAAAAATGCCGCTGCGAACTCACATAACGTCGTATGGTGACTTTTTATTCGTACCGTAAAGCAAAATCATCTTCAAATTTCATGTCGTATCCTGAAAATTTTGTATGCTGGAGCGTTCATATCCTGAGGTACCACTGTACTTTGAAAAAAGTTCTGATGCTAAAACGAGATATGTCGGGAATAACACGGGACAAGTAAATGGATTTTTTTCAAAGATTCGTTTGTGAAAATTCGATTTTGCAGCATACGCATTTCCAACATTCCAACGAGCAACGCATTCGCAAACCTCTTACTACTGCCCTTTGTAGAGAGTGTCGCCATTTTAAATTTTATTTCGACTCGGTTCTCGGTCCCCCGAGTACCTACAAGTCTGGATTTTTTTATGCGCGCAGGTTTTGAGAACCTAATATTCTGTGCCAAATTGCAACACTTGACATGTACTCCTTCATACCACTAAGCTGATTACCCAGCAGGCAGTACGATTTTATAAACAAGATATAGTCATGTCAATAATAATAATGTTGAATTATTAAACACTTCTACACACGTACGACAAGGCTACCGTTTAGTTCAGCACTGGTACATCCTCGAGCTAGCACATTTCCTCGTTCTAGGATGCAAAGATATGTATGCGCATCAACTTTATGACTAACTGTCACGAGTCATACACAGGTGCAGTGATATGATAGAATATCAGCTAGCCAATGTCCGCTCGGAAATATCTACTATATAAAATCGAAATGGGCAGTTCTGTGACGGTATGCCAAAAACGACCACTAGGGGCTTCCATACATATTATTTAAATTAAAAATATAAATTATTTTATATTTATTTTATATTTTTACAGTATAATTTAGTATATTATTGTTTTTATTTGTAATAGGAATTTATTAATTTATTATTTATACCATGGAATGACACTAAGCACATGCCCGGATGCCTGCATCGCACATTTAGACTTGTTTTATTTTTATACATTTGACATTAGATATATATACTTATATATTTTTAATATTTATATTTGTCTATTCTTTTTTTTATGATATAAAAAATAAGTCTATGAAAATCAACGCGTCGGTCATTTAAAAAGCTTGTGTGGGTCAGTATCTGACCCATGCGTCATAGGTGCGCCACCACTGGCCTGGAGATTTCTACATACAGAAAAATTGAAATCCATCAATGAAATTCATTGACCACTGATTTAGTTCCTCAATAAACCCAAATCACATAAAGCGTTTCTATAGTGAACACAGAAAATGCTCAAAAGCTTCAACGTCATTTCAGCAGCAATACTCTTACCATACTAGCATACTAGCAATATGCCAACGAACATGGTCTCATATAAAACTCGCTGTTTGTTGTTCAAATACACGTCTGTTAGGCAATGCGTAGGTTGTACTTAATGTTCAGACAATGTGCAGGTTGTAATTGATGTTCAGTAAGCTTTACATAAAAAGTCGATTTCCGTACACAAATGCTATCCTATAAAATTTATATAATTTAACCTTTATTAATTGAACAAATAATGGTAAATCCAAGATAAGATGTAACAAAAAAATGTAATAGACTTAAACGCCTAACTTAAACACAGATAATGATGATAACAACATTCTTTACATTGTTTTGCAAATACTATTTTTATTACAATCAAGACATTTCACTCCGTAAATCCGTATAAACGATTTTAAAACAAAAGCAAGTTTATTGCTTTGATTTTTACTCTAGTGTTCTCATTTTTGTTCTCACTGTAGCTTATAGTTTTCAACTACAGAACATCAATCTATAAATTTGATGTTTTGTACTTGTAATTCTGTACTAAAAATTGTATTTCATTTATGGAATACAATTTTTTCCTTCTATAATATATAATATCGTGTTAAGTTTTTGGAACTTTTTCTTTCGCAATTGTATACATTTCATATGAAAGACGAGTAGAGTTTAGCGAACTGCCTGCCATATAACCATAGTGTTTGTGTTAATAAGAGTTACATATTAATTAGTCATATATTTTAAATATCTTTATTAAATTTGGATTTGTATAATTTTCATTCCGTAGCTTATCAGAAAAATGTTAAAATGAAATACAAGTATTTTGTATCCAACACATCATTAACAGAATCATCTATGTTCAGCCTATTTTATGCAATACAGATAAATACGAACAACATATCGTTAACTACAATTTAATTTACGTAAACTTAAATGTGAGACATTATCAATGTGATAAATAACTAGAATGCAAAAAATAGTATTATTGTGAAGCAGATTTAATAACAATAATCTTAATAAATTTTATTCTCATTCATAAATTACAATTTATGAATAAATTTCGATACTGTTTTTAAATGCACTCGTCTAAATTATATGATATAGCCTTACGTTTATATACATTTGTAATAAAAATTACCCCAAGTTTATGTTATTTCATATCTTACAACATACATCTTTTTTCAACAAATATTCTTATACCTGATATTGGGGTCAAAATACTTTTAAAAGAAGTAACGATCTTATCTTGAGGGTCCAAAGAGTAAACTTTAAAATTACGAAGAACATTTGCCAAAACCGTTTTTATCATAATCATGGCACCTTTACTTGCTGTAAATAAATAATTTTAAATATAATAATTCTTTTGTTTTTGTATTTATTCACTAATCACTTACCGAGACAATTTCGTGGACCGACAGAAAATGGCAGAAATGCATAAGGATGAAGATTTTTATAGTTTTCAGGTAGAAAACGGTCTGGATCGAACACTTCGGGATTTTCGTAAACAGAAGGATTATGATGAATACCATAGATATTTATGACAAAAGTCGAATTTGCAGGCAACACGTAATTACCTGTTTCAATGACAACGATTTAATGCTTCAAGTCAATAACAAATGTAAAATATTATTATTTAAAAACGAACCGCAATATCTAAAATGTTTACCTATTTTCATTTTCGATGGATTTTTTCTTGCAATTAAAGGAAAAGGAGGATAGATTCTCATCGACTCCTGAAATTTGTACCATATAAAAATGATCTTTAAGTGTATTTAAAAAAAATTAAAAAGTCACCTTAATTGCGCATTGTAAGTACATCATTTTAGTCAGGTCATCGATAGTAATATCCTTATTGAAACCATTTTTAAAAATTTCTTGCAATTCTAGATACACTTTCTCTTGTATTTCGTGGAATCTTCCCAGAAAATAAAGAGCCCAGGACAGAACGTGGGCGGTTGAGTCGTAACCCTAATATTAAAGTACATTGAAAATAAATGTAAAATTGCTTTCTATATTATTGATATTTGTAAAATAATGATATGGCATACACAAATATCGCTATTTTTTTATATTTCTGTCATACCACTTTATAATCCACAACGACATTTTTTGCAGCAAGTGATTGCCGCAGATCTACGGAGTAATTTTAATTAAAAAACAAGTTTCAAACTTCCAAATTGGATAAAAAAGTACACAATGACACAAAACATCCCCAATTTATAAATTCTATATTTTCGATTAAAAAAGTTATTTATACCAATATAAAAGTAGATTATCATCAACGTCAAAATGCAATACTAGTTACGATTCACAAAGTGTTTCGGTTATTCGGTTAGGAATATATGAATTTAAATTAATTAATTAAATCATATGAATTTAAATTGTTTCGGACTACAAANAATTTTCAATTCATCAAAGCTTATGGTTATTTTAAAATGTTAAGTGTAAATTGTTTATAAATAAAAAGTTCACACTAAATTGTATGTATATTATGTGTTTTCTCAATTTTTTCCAAAAATGGACTTACACCACTTTCAAAATAAACGGTCCATATCTGGAAATTAATTTTTCATACCTGTTTAATGCAGACACATATTCTTGATCGTTCGTAGTCTGAGAATGTAGAGCAACTCCTACTGCTATGTCTACATAGAAATAAATTGATATTTATTGTTTTTAAATAAATAAATATACGTCGTTTTGATATGATATTCAGTATCGGGAAGGCATCGCAGAACAAAGTAGATTCACGAAAAGAAAACAGTAATTAAGAAAACAAAACTAAACGAAACAAAAAAGTAATCGGAGGCCGTATTCTGGAGAAATCGACGAATGACGTCAAACAGAAAGACGAATTTCGTCTCTCATACATATTGGCGATTCTGGTGGTTCGTAACGATCTTGTGTTTGTTGTTGACGTCACGATTCTATTCGGTTGATTGTTCGGGTTATCTGCGCGCGTAATACGGTATAGGATTTTAACCAATGAAATTGTAAAATTTTTCGAAAATGCGGAAAACGTAAACATAGATCGTACTCCGCATTCACGTTGCAAGGAAAGCATGTGTTCAAATAAAACAGGTAATTTCGACCAACTTGTTTTTGTTTTATAACGTTTTTACAGATTGCAATGTCAATTTGTCTTTTAACAAATAAAAATCATAATAGCCTAAGTTAGAAAAGCGTGCATACTTGTATATTTTTCGAAATATTACCATCTAATTTCTCCTTCACTATCCAAGTAAAATTAACATCATATTCGATAGTTCAGTAATTGATATAGGGCAATTTTTAAAAAAATGGAATCAGTGACGTTTCTGAGTAGGCAGTGGAAAAAAATCAGAGGCATTTCTCTAGATAGAGAACGTTCTCTAATACTATTGTACAGCGCGAGTAGCAGCCAATCATCCATATTAGATATAACGAAATCGAAGCGAAAGACGATACACTGGTCGAAAGACAATTACCCGCTCGTCTCTGACAAACGACAGAAGCGAAGAGAGAAAATGCTGTCCGGAATCGCGTTTAGAGAGACCCGATCATTTTTCGAGACATAAACAAATGATTAGCCAATCAGCGACCAGCTTGTGAGAGACGACAGACGAGAGACGATGAACAGAATACGGCCCAAGTTTTATCGTGAAAAATTGATTATAGTTAGCTTTAGTTCTAACTATTGTCGCTAGACAGGGATAGTGTTAAAAGTCGTCCTGTGTGTCAGAATTTCAAACGAATAAATCCGTAATCGCCGTGAAACGCGTAAGTGGTAAAAATACTGTTTGATTTCCTGACTCTGTCCATTGTTAGTTTCGTTAAGGGTTGTTCAGTAGCTCACTTTTCTTACAGTGACATATTTATATGTATATAGGGCATACATGACTCATATTATCTCTCCATCTCCGCAACCTTTAGCCACTAAAATTTGATAGCTTCAATCCCCCTAATAAAGAAACCTCCATGCAAAATACAGAAACAAACTAACATCCATACATACAACAAAAACCCGTTTTTTTTTTTTTTTTTGCATTTTTCGACGTTTCAAGTCCCATTGAGTCCAAAAAATGTAAAAAGTTTGGAAGGATTATTTTTTGACTGATCGCCATACTATTTCTGTGTTAAATATAACTACCCTATGTATAACATAAGATTTTCAAATTGTATACCTGATACATATCACTTAAAGAAGAACTCATAAACTTATTTCGTTACGCGTAGATTGTAGTCGCTCTAGTATAACGGTTATTTGTAAAATAGAACAAAACAAAAAACTCTTATGAGTAAATCTAAAATGAGTCAATCGTATGCTTTCTGATTAACATTGCTTTAAAACAAGTCATTAAACAATTACTATTTTAAGATGATTGTTTTATTACTTTCGTCAAATACATAAAATATCATTAGCGTTTTACACATGTTCCACTACAGTTAAGCAGAATAACACCAGAACAACGAAAATCACACCATTCGTCCTTTTCGCAATCTGAATCACGTTTACAGCTCGAAGGACTATAAAATTCGAATTTTTCTACATTATAAATATGTAGTGGTTACAAAAATAAATAAATACTGTAAATAAATGAAAGTAAACTTATGATTTGTAGATACTTCGTTTCTTCCGTTCTGTAAGCAAAAAATAAATATGACAATTTAATCTTTTCCTTTTTCTTTGTATAGATATTATTAATAACGGAAAATTCTTACCGAAAGGAGAGGGGTAACAGATTTCAGTTGTAGCAAGTAGGAAAAAGATAAAGTAAACCGATATCGCCATCTGAAATTAAAGTAAAATTATTTAATTAAAATCAAGCATTAAAAATAATACAATACATACATATATATGATGACCTAAAATTCAGTTATCTGAAAACTAGTTTCGGAATTCTTACGAGTGGGTACTTCCTTTCAAATGTTTAAACTTTTACATTATTTATTTATTTGTTATACGACATTGAAAAAATATCTTATTATTTGACAGAAAATGTAGAGAAATATGCTAATATGTAGGCCTACACACGATATATATGTATGTTTAATTAACAAACGTGACAAATAAAAATGATGTGTATAAAACGTTTTTATTAATGAGTATCAATAAAATGTTTATTACGCAACGTATTTCTTTAAAAAGAATATTAACACGAACCGATTAATACAGAAAGTAATATACATAAATAAATGCAGAGTAACCAGAGAACTAAGGAAAGGCAAAGATATCTTATAACACAAAATAGGAAAATGAATTATTATAAAAATGGAATGGAGCATTGTCTTAGCAAATTGCATCAAAGAAGCCTGTGCAGGTTTAAGCATAATAATTATCACATTCCCTTACTCACAAGTTAGTATAAAAAAAATATATAAATAAATAAACAATAAAATTTTTTAAGAATATTTATAGTAGAAAAATAATCGAATATATAATGTAAAAAAATATATTAGAAAATAATCAATTTAATTTCAGTAGTTTAAATTATTATATAAATTATTGATAAAAACTGTAAAGTTTTGAATGATTTTTCCTCAACGAATTTGGGCTATTTGATGCTTATTGAATTTAAATAATTCAGACAATACTTACCGTGTAATTAAGTTATACACGTTCTTACTTCTTATTCGAAATGCTATAAGAAGGAATGAGATACTCTTTTATACGGAAATTGAACGTTTTAAAGGAAGACGTAGATAGAGGTGTTGTGTGACAGAATATTTGTTTGTCACGTTATATGTTTATTGATACATAAAATTTCAATAGAATTTGTAAATTGAAATGCGAACACGATTATTTAAAATGAAATTTAATCTTAAGATTTATTAAACATGTAAATATTCCAGAAATGAAATATCTGCCT